AACAAACCTGTTGATTTTAAAAACTGTGGATCATTCAGACCTTTAAAAAACGAGGGAAAATATTCATATTAAATAAAATAAAATCTTAGGTATGAAAACACTTCACCTATATGCTTTTCTTTTTCTTTTAATTGTTTATATTTAATGGCTAATAGATGTGTAATCTAGAAACTTGTACTTGATAATTATTTTTAGAGTTTAATAGTGATGGATATTATATCAGTGTTATAACATCGACATAGACAAATAATAAAATAAAACATTAAAATCGATATGTGTCCCGCTGCATTGCGCGAGACAGCGAGTACTCTTCTAATATCTATACTATCTTATAAAGTAAATTTAACAAAAGTCTTAAAATCTTAAAATAATAAATGACCAATATATCCTTTATATCACTTTTCAACCCCTCATTTCCTCACATACACTCACTCTCTCACAACCGATTTTTTTAAATTATAATTTTAAATTTACAATTTATACCCTTATAATTAGTTAATTAATTTACTTTACGTCATTTACTTTTAAATGTTTCATTTTAAACTTTTATCAAATTAATATACATAATCGTATATCAATTAAAACATGTTTAAAAATTCATTTTTATTTTAACAAGTTACACCATTATAATCGTCTCGTTAATACCTTCGAAATGAGTCCAATATTGAATATTTTTTACTTAATTATATTATTATATGTTATATATATATACTGTGGAAAAATATTTTTAATATTTACGATTTATACTGTCATAGTTATTTATTTATATATATACTATATATTTTGGGGTTAGGCTGTTCAAATTGTACTGTATAATATGTTCTGAATTAATATGTTCCTGAGTTTTTTTTTTAAATATATATATATATACATGTATTAATTCAATCTTAATATGAGTTTCTGGACAAGAAATAGGGTAAGCAGTTGAAATTTCATTCTAAAACCCATCTTTTTTGGTCTTTTCATGACTTATGATATGTCAAATTTGTAGTTTTCTTTATTGGTTTTGAGTGTTTATCTTAAAACTCAAGTTTCTTGGTTMTTTGCTCTTGGTGTAAATCGAACACATTTGTGGAGTCTTTTAAATATGTTGGATTTTAAATATATTGGATTTTAGACTGTCATACAATTTTTTTCATCGATAGTCTGTAATTGGAACCTTAACTCTTTTTTATTCAAATTGTATTAATATGTAAAGACCAATTGTAACATATATCATTGTTAAATCTTATCTTTTAAAACCAGTAGAACTTCAAAATCGTTAAAAAATTCATGGATCACGCCGCATTGCGCGGGTACACAACTAGTAAATATATAGGTTCAACAAAGTTTTATAAAAGTGTAATAATTACACTTTTTTATAAACTAAATTACAATTTTACCCTTAATAATAG